ATAACTTGTTCTCCTTGGTGTGGCATTAAGAGATCTTATGGCAACCAGCTCTGTATTGGCAACATTTATGAATGAATGTAGTATGCTCAAGGGGATTTTAAATTAAATAAATAACCTAAGCCAAGAAATAAGTGAATAAAGAATAGTTAGGTGGTTCCTTTCACTAGTTGGAATAAGCTAGTTGGCATTTTTCAAGGCAGTTTAAGAGGCAGAGTGGGAAATAATTCTGAGGGGCTTAGCCCTGACCTTTAAATCTCATCTTTCACTTTTATTCTCTGTAGGCAGTCTTTTAAATATAAGTTCTTGGAAGATATTATGATGATGTAATAAACAGTATTACATTAGTGGTCAGGCGACATTTGTTTTTTTTTCTGCCTCTAATTAGCTGTGGGATCCTGGGAGAACGTCCTAGTGTCCCTATCCCAATGTCTTCATTAAGTACCACAAAGCTTCTCCAGTGCAGGTATCATAACTAGATTAGGGAATGTGCTCATTCATTATAATTTATTAAGTACCTACTATGTATCTGTTGTAGACTACCTTCAATTGCTGTAACAAAGCACTTTGACCAATGCCAGCTTGGGGAGGAAAGGGTTTATTTAGCTTACTTTTCCCGGGTCACAGTTCATCAGGGAGCCCAAGGTAGGAACTCAGGGCAGGAACTTGGAGGCAGGAGTTGAAGCACAGGCCATGGAGGAATGCTGCTTACTGGTTTGATCTCCTGATCCATGCTCAGCCTGCTTTCTTACACAATACAGAACAACGTACCCAAGGGTGGCACTTCCCACAGTGGGTTGGGCCCTCCCATATCACTCAGAAATCAAGAAAGTACCCCACAGACATGGCTACAGGTCAGTCCAATGGAGATAATTCCCCAGTTGAGGCTCTGCCTACCCAGATGTGTCAAATTGACAACTAAAACTATCTAGCACAGTGTCATTGTATTAGGCTTGGGGTATTTGACAGAGAACAGTATATGATCCCAGATCAGAAGAGGTTTACAGTCTAGATTTTTACCAACAAGTAAAGATTTAGGGAGAACTCACTTGCCAGAGGTAAATTACTAGAAATCTTGGGAAAGTATAACTATGTTTTTTAAGCAAAATTCTTTCTTATTTCATATGGATTGTTATTTCATAGTTAGTATTAGTGAGGTCATTCTTGATGTTGATTTATACATAGTAAAGATTATCTTCTCATAATAAATATTCACTCACTTAAAACTTTACTGAAGCCTTAAACTGTATAACCTACATTGCAGATCCTTTTACTGAAGGTATTCGTGAGGTAAAAAAGATACAACTACTTAGAGTGTATCTTGTGTAGGTTCAATGTGCTATGGAAGACACACATATATATATACATTAGAGGAAAGCACACTGAACCAGTTAGGTGTTGACAACTGTAGAAATATAGAGCATGCTTCATGAAGAAGGGATGTAAAGAGCTGGACTTGAGGGCTGAGCAGTTTATAAGATAGAGAAATGAGAGAATGCTAATAGATCATGATGTACTTACTGGTCAGGTACATCAGGCTATTTCAAATGTTGGATACCTGAACCGGAAAGACATTATTTTGAAAATATATTGATATAATGAAATGTTAGGGTTAGGGTTTTTGGTTTTGGATATGTCTCCTTTGTAACTTTTACTCCAATGATTGTGTTTATATTTTAGAAAGAACACCCAGGTTAATGCCTGATAAAGGAAGCATGTATTACCCACGGGTGCAGCATTACCGAGAGCTTCTTGACTCACTGCCAATGGATGCCTATACACATGGCTGCATTTTACATCCTGAACTCACTGTGGATTCCATGATCCCAGCTTATGCAACCACAAGGATTCGCAGTATGTAAAAGTCTTAAACACTTGAGGGTCTGCCTAAAGTTTGTTATTCTTTTTTTTTTGTTTTTTGTTTTGTTTGGCTTTTTGTTTTTTTGAGGCAGCATTTCCCTGTAGTTCCAGCTGGCCTGGAACTCTCTATGTAGACCATCCCAAGCTAGCATCTATCTCAGAGATCCACCTGCCTCTGGGATAAAAGGCATGGACCACCATACTTGGCTATAATTCATTTTTAGACATCTCCTGGTCACTGCGAGATTGGGAAACAGGATTGTTGAATTTACTTCATGGGCATGCATGGCTATGCATCAACCTAATTGTCAGATTAATCTGCACCTCTGCTATTCAGCTGGATATTTATTGTTTATCAGGTTTAATATGTAACTTTCTTGCATAAAACTTAGAAGAGTGATTGAGACAAGGGTAGACAACATGACCTGTTCTCAAACAGACTGAAAGTCAGAAAAGTTGGAACTCTCTTGGGTATCTGGGAAACTTATTTCACATTTCTGATCCTTAATTGTCATTTCATGATGAGAGGAAGCTGGACTAGAATTCAGTCATTGGAGATTGTCCAAGATTGAGTTTTGACATCCACTTCCGCCTCATTCCTGTCATGAGGCTGTACTAGGATCAGTGTGTGAAGTGTGAAGCAGAAGGAAGTATGATCTGTAGTGTAGTTGGCTTTGGCTAGGAAAGCCAGAGAGGATGACAGTGGTCACTCTTGGGAGAAACCATGGTTTTCCCTTACACATCTGTTGTTTTATTACTTGTTTTCCCCTTCCTATATGATACTTTTCCTTTCTCCTCCTCTTTCTTCCTTTGCCTTGCTCCTTTCCTTTTCTCCCTTTCCCTCTTCTTTCCTCTTCCCTCTCTTCTGCTTTTCTCCTTCCTCTTATTTTTCTTCCGTCTCTTCCTAAGTATAATATGATTTGAAACACATATTCTAACTACAAATTTTTATCACCTATAGTCAACATTATTTTAAAAATAAGGTTCCCTTCCTTTCAATAAAGAAAACTGGAGGCTCATGGAAAGGTAGAGCAATCCGGTGGCGTGGAGCATGAGGATATTGGGCCTTACTTTAGCTGTCCACAACAGAATCTCAGGAAGTCCACAGACTGTGAGTCAGGTATTCTCTAGCCCCATTTTAAAGTGAAGACAGTGAGGCAGACAAAGTATGTTTAAAGCTGCAACAGGCCAGTGGTTCGAGTTCATACCCTATTCATGGCATGTCCCTGCATCTCTGTATGCCTTTTATAGGAGGGAACAATATTTTTTCATTTCAATTTTTTTTTTTTAATCAGGCCAGATTGGTAACACAGAGTCTGAACTGAAGAAGCTTGCTGAAGAAAACCCTGACTTACAAGAAGCATACATTGCCAAACAGAAACGGCTTAAAGTAAGTGACCAGGCTGGCTTTATCTGACACCACTGTTTGTACTGAGTGTTCTTACAGCAGCAGCAGAATACTGTTTCTAAGATACCTTGTTTTAAATCACTAGTGCCTGTTACCTTTAGTCTGTGTCTCGCTTTTAAAAAGACTTGAGCCTATTGTAATGCACATGTCTGTATCCCAGCACTTGGTAGGCTGAACCAGGAGGATCACTCACTGTGAGTTCCAGTCCATCATGGGCTACAAAGTGAGATCCTGTCTCATAATACCCCAAAACAAAAATTCCCCCAATAAAAACCAAACATGTTTACCTGATAAGCAGATATTAAGCATGCTGGTTGCCATGGAAGTTGGTAAATGCAAATCCACTGTACTATAATATTGTAGGAAGCTATCATATCAGGTCCTCACCCCTTCAAGGCCTCCATGTGTTACACTGACTCGCTCTGCCCTTTGTATGGAGTAGCAGTTTTAGTCAGCCTTTCTCTTTCTATTGATTCTTTGCCTGTGAACAGACGGCATGTGGAAGCTTCTCTCGTATCACAGTGTAACAAATAGCAGTCCCAACCCTCCCTCAGCTTCCTATCTTCCTCTGTCCTATCTTAGCCTAATGAGCTTGGAATACATGCCTCCATAGTCACTTTCCATACTTTCTACTCTTCACATTTGGACTTCTGTTAACATTCTTTCTTTCTCCACTTGTATGTGTGTGTGTTTATGCATGTACAGGTTCATATATGTGTGCCTGTGGAAGCCAGAGGGCAACCCTAGGTGTTCCTCAGGACACTGTCCACTTAGTTTTCAGAGCCAAGGTCTGTCATTGACCTGGGACTCACTGATTTGGCTAGACTGGCTGACCAGCTTTTTTCCTGTGGGTTCTGGGGGTTGAACTCAAGTCATCATGCTTGCAAAGACAAGCACTTTATAGGCCAGCCTCTCTCCCCTAGCTCTTTCTGCTTCTTTCTTGACTCATTTATTTACTTAATACTCCTAATTAAAAAAAAAAAAAAAAAAAAACTGCTCAAATTCTGTCCTTGAGTTGGGCGCCAGAGGAGAATCTTTGTGTTCCTCACATTGTTTCCTTCCCTGATCAACTAGCCTCCAGGGAGTTGCAACTGGTGCTGGGTCTGTTACTGAGATGTTTCACAGCTGGCTTGTTTCTCCATTTTGCCCTGGCTTTACAAAGTTATTCTACTTCTTCTCACTGTCTAAAATAAGCAGGCTTGAATGCTATAAGAATGTATGTAAGTATATGCTAAAGGAAATATGTACAGTCTACTTTGTGCTACATAGATGTTGGTTTTTCAGTAGCATAAACATCCTATTTAACTTCTTCTTTTTTTTGGGGGGGGTTGTTAATTAGTCAAAGCTACTTGATCATGACAATGTTAAATACTTGAAGAAAATTCTTGATGAGTTGGAGAAGGTTTTGGATCAGGTTGAAACCGAGTTGCAAAGAAGAAGTGAAGAAACCCCAGGTAAGGCTTTCTGTTTAGTTCAACATTAGGGGTATTTATGAAAATATTCTTAGATCTCACCAAGCACGTTCTGTAATCTGAGTTTTTTATGGTTGTTGTTGTTCATGGGCAGTTTTAATTGTACTATTTAACTCTGAAAAAGTCAGATGTCAAATTGTAACTCAGCTTGCATCTACATGAAATATGACTTTTTCTACACCTTTTAAGTGATGATTAGGAGATTCCTACCCAAGCAGTTTTACAAATTAATAATTAAAGAAATTTTGTTAAATAATCTGAATAATTGTTTGAATGCTCCTGTCTAGTTTTTCCTTAGTTGGGGAGATAGCGTCCAATCTAAAGTGTACAGTGGGGACCAGCATGCATCTAGCTGGATGTTGAGCATCTACATATTGCACCTGTCCACTTCAGAATTAGATAGTTTCAGGTTTATACATGTGGGCCATTTGTGTTTCTCTAACTGATCACAGAGTTGAATACTCTGTTACCTGAAACTGATTTCACAATAGGGACTCAGCTTGGGTTTGATGGCTTATACCTGTCATTCTAATACTTGGAAGGCTGAAGCAAGAGGATTGCCAGCAGTTCAAGGCTTGCCTGGGCTACAGAATGAGATCCTATCTAAAAAAGCAAAAACAAAAAACACTGAAATAAACGATAAACTTAAAGAAAAAAGAAAAAAAGACTCCCTTCTGTCTTAAAGAAATGTATCTTTATCCTTCCATTTCCATGAGGGATTGTTTTCAGGAGTCCTTAAGGATATCAAACTCCATGGAATTTCATGTCTCTTCTGTAAAGTGAATTAGAATTTACATGTTCTCCTATACTTCAAATCATCTCTGGATTATTGTGATACCTAGTATAATGTAAAGGATGTGCAAATAGTTTTTATCCTGTATTATAGAAGAGGTAATTGACAATAAACGAAGTCTGTACTTGCTCAGTAAAAACGTAGTATTTTTTTTTTCTAAAGTATTTTTGATCCCAGGGATGCAGCACTATGGATAGGGAAGATGTACTATAAACAGGGAGGTGGCCACTGACTGATGTTTCAGGCTTAACTATGTGGCTTTTCCTAAAGCACATCTGTTGATTTACTAAACCAGAAGGAAGTATCTGTTAATCTGTTAATTCCTCTGATTGGTAGGCATCTTCTGAGTCTTTTACAGAAGGATAGAAAACCTTTGAGCTCAAGTAGTTCCAATTTTACTCAGAGACTTTTGTGGTTGACAGATGTTGAGTAAATGTCTGTTAGCTTGGGATAAATCTAAATGGACTTTTTTCTCCCTTTTGAATGCATAAAATTACTTGGTGACCATCATGAAAATGTAGGACGGGCTTCATCTCTTGTTCCAGTTGTCCTTCTTAAGGCTGAGACTGCATATGCTGCCTGTTTAGTGGGCATTTCTTAATTCTTCATTTCTCTTCTCTGATTAGAAGAGGGCCGCCAACCTTGGCTCTGTGGAGAATCCTTCACCCTGGCAGACATCTCACTGGCTGTCACATTGCATCGGTTGAAGTTTCTGGGGTTTGCAAGGAGAAACTGGGGAAATGGAAAGAGACCGAACTTAGAAACCTATTATGAGCGTGTCTTGAAGAGAAAAACATTTAACAAGGTTTTAGGACATGTCAACAATATATTAATCTCTGCCGTGCTGCCAACAGCATTCCGGGTGGCCAAGAAAAGGGCCCCAAAAGTTCTTGGCACCACCCTTGTGGTTGGTTTGCTTGCAGGAATGGGATATTTTGCATTTATGCTTTTCAGAAGAAGACTTGGCAGCATGGTATTAGCACTTAGACCTAGACCAAATTATTTCTAGGTGTGTTCAGCCCTGGTGGTGGCAGCTCATCCAACCATTCCGCTAGACCCTTGTCCACTCTCCAGACCCAGTGAAGAATTATCCTGGGCAACTAGTAGAATGCATAATTTATGTGGGGAAAACAGCTAATGAATTTATTTTTATTTGTAGGCTGAGATGACTTATTTATAACTAATCCATTCTTTAAGCATGTGCAAGGTCAGGATAGGTGAACACTGACAGGTAGAGAATAGACCTTTAATCCAAATTGTCAGTTCAGGTTTCAATTATTTTTTTAGACTTTTAATATGAGCAGACAGTAATAATAACCTGTAACTTCCAATAACTCTTCACATAGACCAGTATCAACTATTGTTCCGAGTGTTGAGCAGTTGCAGGATCTTCCCCTGGAACTCAGAAGTCCTTTTTGCTACCGGACAGGGTTCAGATAGCATCAGGACATAGTACTACTTCATCTTCTACCAGCTTCAGGTAGAAATAATGGAAAAGGGAAAGAGGAGAAAGAAGACAAGAGAATGAAGTGTATGTAGGATAGAGCAGTAGGCTGTAACCTCCAATGGTCCCCAGAGCTGCTCATGGCTGCTTGGTAAACTTCACATATAGCTACTTGTGGCCAGGTCCACTTATTACTCCTTAACTGGGAATAGTTGGGAAGAGAGAGCTTGGAAGTTATTGGGGATAGTAGCCTGGAGAGAACCCTAGGATTTATATATGCTATCACCTCACTTGACCTTAATTATGAGCCTCACTCATTGATTCAATAAGATAAGTAATTATGTATTCAACTGTGGGGTGCCCATTGGAACATGTATGTCTAGAACCTATATGAACATCTAAAGTGATAATAAGGTGGTTCCTCAACTTGATGATCTTTGTGAGATATTATTCCTTTGGATCACTGTGTCCAGTCCTGGGGGTCTTGGCCTCGATGGCCCTCTTTATGCATGTGACAGGTAGATGAATGTCTCAGGTAAATAGCATGGCTTATGGGTGGGTAGTAGATATTTTGATAAGAACCAAATATGTTTATTCTTATTTGGGAAGACTGGTACATTAATGCACAAACTGTTGTCTGGGCATTGTATTCATTTATGATAATCAACAAAGCCTTAAATTGAAGAGAAAGAAGAAAGTTAAGCCTTAGCTGTTCTCAGTTAATTTGGGGGAGATGAAATACATAGATAGTGATGCCCACCCATATCTATCCATGTATGTTCATGATTTGTGAGCGTATCTCAGTCCATCTGGAACAGGCAGTTCTAGTATGACCCAGGAGCAGCCATGGAGCTGTAATGTATGATTTTTTGCTCAGAAAAAACCTTCTATGGAAATAAGGAGGCAGTTTCTCTGGAGCTGGCCATCAAGATTTTGGGAACAGCTTCAGGATTTTGGTGAATAGTTTGTACAGAGATGATGAACCAAGATTCTAGTGAGTAACAAAAGCTTGCTTGTGCTGCCTCAGGTAAGCTGTGCAAATAGCCAAAGAATGTACTGACTTTTTCATTAATAGGTAAAAGTCATGACCAGGAAACAGTGACTTTCTGATAGTAAAAATGATTCTGTGGAAGTTCATCTACTGAGGTCTAATCAGCCTATCTAGAGTCCCTTGCTTTAGGAAGATCAGATCTCCCTCACTAGCAGTAATCAGTTGCCAATATTTCTTCAGCTAAGATTGGGGTCTGCTGTTCATTTCCACAGTTCTATGCTGGGTTTTTGTCTGTGTGAGTTTGCATGGGTCTTGTGTATGCTGACACCATTGCTGTAGATTTATATGAGCAGGGTCCTAGGAACTTGTATGAATTCCAGTGGGAATTCCAGTGGGGGCCTATGGAAGGGTGTCAGTGGGAAGGTGGTATAAAGATGATTAAGATTGATTGTGATATTCTGCATGAAATACACAAAAACTAGGGAAAACACTTATAAGAAAAATCAAATTAAGTGCCCAAATACTATGAATTGGTGATAATCAATAAAATGATTTAGTGTCATACTGGTGAGCTTACAAGGCAAAAAAAAAAAAAAAAAAAAATTCTGTAATTCCATTTTGATTCTATAATTTCATTTCATAATCTAATGTATTAGACAATATTGATAAACTGGATGTGCACTGTTTATAAAAATTTAAAATTCCAGCATGAACTCAGACTAACAATAATGAATATACTTTTTCAGCTTTTATGTTTTAATTTTGCACATAAGTGTGTCATATGGAGTGTCTGAATCTGTTTGTTGCTACGATATTCCAATTTTTGTATTTATAAAAGAGCTATAGGATTAACTGATTATTAAGTAGTTAATAATGTTTCAGAATTTCTTTTGTCACTTTATGAGAAATAAAAAGTGAGGCACAAAGAAGCAACAATTGGAGTTTTATAAAAATCTACGAAGTATAATACCCGTGAAAGGATTGTTAAAAGACTGACTTTTCATTCAGTATATATTATTACTGTACCAGAAGAAATCACTAGGAAGCACTTATAATTTTCTCATTCATTTTATTGTTAAAGGTGAAGTATCTGAGTGACTTTAGTTGTTTTACAGGTAGGTAGGTGGTATTGAGATTATTGCTTCAAAAATATTTGTCTTTTGATATCTGACCATTAGATGTCGCTGTTTACCCAGTAGTCTAAGATCAGAACTCATTGGGTTCAGTAAGCCTTCTGAAAGGTTTAAAGAGAAGATAAACACTAATGACCTTAGTTTTTGAAGTAAGGGCATCTTCATCAAGATCATTCATCTGTGAACAGGCTTGAGGCAAATGTATTGATTTCTGATGCTTTCTAAGTTATGACAGCACCATATGATGTCCAGCTAAAATCCACTCATACACTATTGACTAAGGAGGCACGTTTATGTATCTTCTTTTTTTGTGATCATTGGTGACTGGCCAGTGTGTTCCTTGTTTCCAAAAATTTGTATAAATATCACAATTAGAAAATGCCTGAGGTACTAAAGTTATGTTGGCTGTTTATGACTTAACATTCGTATTACTATTTTATTGTTATTGCAGTTATATGCCTTTTGAATCTCAAGAAGTTGTAAACTGCTCAATTTTTAGTATTTATTGCTATTGATGTCAGAGTTGTAGATATTTGGTGCTGTTGAGTGTCAATGGAAAGATTAAGATACTATTCTGTGTGTAAGGTCAATAAAATAATTTGAAAATGTGATTTCTGGGACTCGCTTTTAAATCTTTTCTTTTTTAGAATTTATTTTTATTCAGTGTGTATGACTGTGTGCCTCCATGTCTGTATGTACACTACATGCATGTCTGGTGCTCCCAGAGGCCAGAAAAGGGCTTTGGATCCCCTGGAACTGGAGTTATAGATGGTTCTGAGCTGCATGTGGTGCTGGGAACTGAGCTTGAGTTCTCTGCAAGAGCAGCAAGTGCTTCTAACTGCTAAGCCATCTCTCTACCTGGTTTAAAATAATAAGTCTCCATATATTTTCTTTTAAAATATTTTATTTATTATTATTTTAAAGACTATTTCTATTATTCCAAAGAGAGGCAATTTTAACACTTTTTTCAGAAATAACTTGAAGCAGGTTACATAAAAATATATATACAATGAAGTTTAATGGTGGAAAAGTAGGGATAAGACATCAAAGACTAAAGTCAGGTGTGGTGACACATGTCTTCAATCCCAGCACTTGGGAGGCAGAGCCTGGTAGATCTCTGTGAGCTCAAGGCCAGCCAGCAAACCCAGCAAACTCCAGGCCAGCTGGAGTCATAGGGAGAACCTGCCCCCCTCCCCCACAAAAAACAAAGACCAAAGGATTTGCCAACATGGTGTCAACTTTGGTGGAATAATAAAGGTTTTCATTAGCTCTGTTTTTTTTTTTTTTTTTTTTCAATCCTAACTAGTTTATTGGGCTTGCTAACAGAGCATAGGGTAGGGGTTTATAGAAGAGTGAGTGCCCCCCGTTTACAGCTGCATTGGAAAGTCCATGCTCAAATATAGACCCTGTGACTTCCCCACAGCCTCACAAAATGATGAGAGAGGTGCCTCCTGGTGTTCTTGGCTTATATATCTTATGCCCCTCCCCCACATGCAGCTAAGGTTGACTCATTGTGTGGTGGGGTAACTGTCTCCCCCTCTTGACTCCTTGATGAGTGTGGGAAGGTGTGACTATAGTTTGCTGGCATAGTGGTCAGAGAACACTTCTAATTAAAACTCCACCCCTTCCTCCAACTCTTGCATTCTTTCTGCCAACCTCTTCTGCAAAAGTCCCTGAGCTTTGGAAGGGTGGTAGGTGTGGGATGATCTTCTTTCCATTGTGGCAAGGCACTAAACTTTCGGGTTTCTACATCTTCAGATTTCCATGGGCTGGTGGCCCATTTCAGTGGGATTCCATCTACTATAAAAACAAACAGCAAGAAGCAAGAACATCTAAAAAATGGTGCTACAATAACCTATGGATGTAAACAAATGCTTGGACGGTACTGTAGCAGGTGCATCATATCCATCTAACAAAGCAATTACAGTGATTTGCCACTGGGGCCTATATTCTCCCCTGCCACAGGGGTTTGGCTGGGTCTACAGTACCAGATGTGTGTTCCATCCCTAGGAGCAGGCATTATATCCAATTGAAAATTTGCTGGTTGTTCATACACTTGATGCTCCACTATTGCACTAGCAGGAACATCTTGTTGGTATGTTGATAGTGCAACATGCAGGGTCTGTTGTTGAGGAGAATTATAGAGGACTATTCTCCCCCAGTCATCTACATGTTGCTTTTTGGCACCATGAAAGCCACCCATCTAGTGGCAGGGAGTGTCCAGGTTAGTCCAAGCTTGATTTCTCCCTCTCCCATGCTCACATCATGCAGTGTCTTCAGCAATAGAGTTTTTCTATCCACTTCCCATGTAAAAGCAACATTGTTGGCAATGGCCTTTATTGTTATAGGGACCTCCAGAGCCCCTCAGGACAACAGATCATAGGAAGGCAACCCACCTTTGGAACTGGGATTTTCATTTAATAAGTGTATTGCTTCTGGAAGGGCTTTCTTCCATCCCCATAGGGTTCCTTCTGTCCTTAAGGCTTTTTGTTGTTGTTACTGTTTTTAACTGTGTATCTGGAGAATTCTTTTTTTTTTACCCTTTATTCCTATAGTTCTTTGTATGGCCCTCCTTCCCCCTCTCCCCTGGGCATGGATATAAAGTCATCCGGTAGATTTCAATGGTAATGTTTTTCTCATCTACTAATTATTAAGCAAATTTTTATGCTTTGAAGAATTATTTAAAATTTTTTTTAAAATTTAATAACCACATGATTAGAAGAAGCATTTCATTACAGCTTTAATGTGTTCAGTAACACACCCCAGAGCAAGGGTACATCTCTTTCAAAAGTGGCTGTGAAGTTTTAGGTTGACGGTTGAATTAATACAGTTATACAATATTGGACTCAGTATAAACCCTGTAAGATATAACATTGAATGAGTTTTAGCCCTTTAAAGAAGATGTCCATTTCATTTTAAAATATGCTATTTCCTACATTTTTAACGCTACTAATGCTTAGATGTTTGCACATGTGTCTTTAATCTCTATGTATCTGATGATTACTAGTCACAGTCAGTTACACTCGGATCCTTAGTACCTGAGTATGGATATAAAGTCATGAGGTAGAATTCACTGGTAATGTTTATCGTCTCTGCTATTTAACATGAAGTAAATTTTTATGCTTCCTCCTCAAATATGTCTTTTTTAAAAAAAATTGTTGATTTTTCTGTGTGTATATCATACAGAACATCCCATGCAGTCTTATTCATCTATATACCCACTTCCCAAATGGCACCCTCCCATAGTCTCCCCTCTCCCACATACTGGAGCCCACATACTCTTGTCATCCCTGTTACTGTCCTCTATGTTTCAACACCCCCAACCATTCTCCAGTGCTTGTCCATCTGCTGAATCTAGTCAGCCTATCTAGAGATCCTTGTTTTAGGAAGATCAGCTGTTCTTCATCTAGCAGCAATCAGTTGTCAATATTCCTTTAGATAAGATTGATTTCAGCTTTCTTTACTGCTGAGTAAAACTCCATCGTATAAATGAACCACATTTTCATTATCCACTCGTCAATTGAGGGACACTTAGGTTGCTTCCATCTCTTAGCTATTGTGAAAAGAGCAGCAGCAGCAACAATTATTGATGTACAAGAGTCTCTGCAATAGGACGAGTTCTTTGTGTATATGCCAAGGAGTGGTATAACTGGGTCAAATGGTAGGTTCATTTGTAGTTTTGTAAGAGTTTGCCACACTGCTTTCCATAGGGGTTGAACAAGTTTGCAGCCCCACCAGCAGTGGATGAGTGTTCCCCTTTCCCCACATCCCCTCCAACATTTGGTATCATTTGTTCTCTTGATCTTAGCCAGTCTGACTGGGGTGAGGTGAAATCTTAAAGTGGTTTTAATTTGCATTTCCCTAATTATTAGTGATATTGAACATCTTTTAAGATGCTTCTTAGCCATCTTTACTTCTTCTTTTGAAAACTTTCTGTTCAGCTCCTTAGTCTATCTTTCAATTGGGTTACTTCCTGTCTTGATCCTCTACTTTTTGAGTTCGTTATATATTCTGGATGTTAAACCTCTGTCAGATGTGTTTGAAGATTATTTTTCCCATTCTGTGGGTTTTCTCTCCACTTTTTTGATCATTTCTTTTGATGTACAGAAGCTTTGTAGTTTAATGAGGACCCATTTGTTGATTCTTGCCCTTGTTTCCTGGGCAGTTGATGTCCGGTTTAGAAAATCCTTTCCTACACCTATATCTTGTAGGTTTTTCCCTATGTTTTCTTCTAACAGTTTCAGAGTTTCAGGCTTCACATTGAGGCCTTTGATCCATTTGGAGCTAACTTTTGTGAAAGGTGAAAGATAAGGATCTAGCTTCATTTTTCTATAGGTGGAGATCCAGTTTTGTCAGCACCATTTGCTGAACTTTCTCTTTCCTCCAGTGAATGTTCTTGGCCCCTTTGTCAAATATCAGGCGGCTGAAATTGCATGTACTCATGCTTGGGTCTTCAATTTTGTTCTATTGATCTATGGGTCTATTTTGTGTCAGTACCATGTTGTTTTTATGACTATAGCTCTGTAATACAGCTTAAAATCTGGTATAATGATCACCCTGGCATTGCTCTTAGTCCTCAGGGTTGCTTTGTCTGTCCAAGGTTTTTGTGCTTCCATATGAATCTTAGGATGGTTTTTTCCAATTCTATGAAAAATGTCATGGGGATTTTGATTGGCATTGCATTGAATCTATAAATGGCTTTTGGTAGGATGGTCATTTTCACAATATTAATTATTCCAATCCATGAGCATGGGAGGTCTTTCCATCTTCTGATGTCTTCCTCAATCCCTTTCTTTAAAGATTTAAAAATTTCATTGTAGAGCTCTTTAATGTCTTTGGTCAGGTTTATTCTGAGACATTTTATTATTATTTTTGCAGCTATTATGAAGGGGGTTGTTTCCATGTACTCTTGTCTGATTGTTTGTTATTGGTATATAGAAAGGCTACAGACTTTTGTAGGTTAATTTCATAACCTGCCACTTTACTGAACATGTTAATAATTTCTAGGATTTTTCTGTTGGAATTTTTGGCATCTCTCAGATATAATATATCATCTGCAAAAAGGGATAATTTGATCTCTTCTTTTCCAATTATTACTACTTTAATTTCCTTCTCTTGTCTTATTGCTCTTGTGAGAGTTTCAAGTACTATGTTAAAGAGAAGTGGGAATAGTGGACAGTCTTGTCTGGTTCATTATTTCAACGGGAATGCTTCCAGTTTTTCTCCACTTAGAATGATGTTGGCTGTGGGTTTGTTATATATGGCTTTAATTATGTTGAGGTATGTTCCCTCCAGTCCAATTCTCTCTAGGACATTGAACATAAATGCAAGTTGAGTTTTGTCAAAGGCCTTCTCTGCATCTATTGAGATGACTGTGTGATTCTTGTTTTTGAGCCCATTTATATGCTTTATGACGTTTATTGACTTATGTATATTGAACCTTCCCTGCATCTCTGGGATAAAGCCAACTTGATCATGGTGGAAGATCTTTTTGATGTGTGCCTGTATGCAGTTTGCAAGTGTCTTGTGGGGAATTTTTGCATCTATGTTCATTAAGGATATGGGTCCATAGTTTTCTTTTTTGGTTGTATCTTTACCTGGCTTTGGTATT